GCTCCAAAACATGTGTGCGGTCACCGAGTACCTCGAGAACGGCGACGTCGCGGCCTACTTGGCGGTCCATCGGAACGTCGAGTTCGACGTCAAGATTTCGATCGGTCTCGGCGTGCTTAATGCGGTCCAGTACCTCCACTCGCTGGACCCGCCCGTGATCCACCGCGATTTAAAGGGTCGGAACGTGCTCTTAAGCGACGCGCTGGACGCGAAACTGAGCGACTTTGGCATTTCCCGTCAACGGATCGCCGATGAAACCATGACGGTCGGGGTTGGCACGGCGTTCTGGACCGCGCCCGAAGTCCTCCTCGGCCTCAAGTACGATGCGTCCGTCGATGTCTACTCGTTCGGCGTCATCATGACCGAGCTCGACACGCAGCACGCACCGTACGCCGACATCAAAGGCGTGCCCAGCATGCACATTGTGCAAAAGGTGACGGGCCAGGACGGCGCCGTGACGCCGTTGCGACCGACGCTGACACGTGACGCGCCTGCGTGGTTTGTGGCGACGGCCGCCGCGTGTTTGGACAGAGACCCGGCAAGGCGCCCATCGATCTCGGAGCTGCGCGATCGGTTCGCTCAGGCACTTGGTGCGCTCCGCGCGGATGCGCGATGAGACGCGCAAATGTAACTTAATAAATTTGATATCGTAAAACACACTGTTCATTCTAAGTTTTGCATGTATTATAGTATGGATTAAACGTAATTTTGCGGGGGTAGGGTCCACCGTATGTCGCTGGTTGACCTCTGCTCGTGTCGTCGAATCGGCAGACAACAACTCGGTCGACGCGGCGAAGAGGAGCGTGTAGCTGTGTCGTACGCGTGCCTTGTGCTGTCATCATTATTACCGTGGCAGTATAGTTTCGACACATCAAAAATCAATCTTGAACGACATGTCCAGAACCATCAAGGTATCAAGGCCGGTGGGTTGGTCTTGGCTCAACTTGGACATGACACGATGGCGTCGTCGTTCTCGTGGCCTGCTATAGATCCCGGCAACGGTCGGCTCGGTCATTGCGTCGCACAAGACGTGTGGTATGGTACGGGTCGTCCGCAGTGGTATTACGTACACTACACAGCCCTCTCAACGTCCCTTCGGAAATGACCCAAGGTGGCATGTGCACCGGTGCACCGAAGAATTCTCCTGGACCGATACTCCTACTACGCCACCACTCGATGGATGCGCGAGCGAGAAGGAGACAGCGAGGTAAAGGATGACAGGCCAGCGCAGCTCTCCGGCTTGGAGATGGCAGAAGGCGCCAGTTGCAAACGCCTGCGACGGGCCCGTCGTCCGCTGCGCACCACCCAATTCGTGTGGTCCTAATATCTCGTTCGATTCCGTGTGTATTAGTCGGCTCCTAAACGGCATGACAAGTTGTCGTCTTGTCGGCCCGGCGGTCCTCGCCGTTGAATCGAGCGGGTTTGTCGCTCCTGGATTCTGTTTTCGGGCCATGTTCTATGGATCTTGTGGCCAATGAAAACGCCGGTAAAGGGAATACACGCATATGATTGGACGTTCGTTTTTACAAATGCCAGAACAAACGAAAGAAAGGCCGCCATTCGGCAATCCGCCATGGCCACGACATGGCTCGAGAGCGCCGACCTCGTGGCCAAGATCCACGCCATCAAGGCCGCCAATGTCTCGGACGCCAACATGTGGAACCCCGAGACGGCCCCGCCCTCCGTGGCCTCGCGGCTCGCGGCCTTGTCCCTGAATTGGGCCGACCTCGGCAACGCCGACAAGCAAGCTTTGCTCTGGGACATGGGCTTGGTGCGCACAACGACCGCCGAGAACAACCAAGTTACGCAAGTCTACACCAAGTGCAGCGACAGCGGCGGCGGCGACAGCATGGCGACGATTGCGCTCTCCAAAGCAGCGTTTCTGCAGTCGCAGGCCGACGCGACGGTCCGCACGTGCACGTCGTCGACCATCAACACGACGTACGTCCGCCAGGAAAACTCGAACGGCGGCAAGCTCGCGCCCTATACCAAGTGCATGATTGCCAACGTGACGGGCGTCGCCGACAGCCACAGCAGCATGTGGGCGCAGGACGGCCAGGGCCTCAGCACATACCCGGTCCCCAACATTATGCGCCACGCGTGGTCCGCCAGTGACTCGTGGCTCATTTATGCGATCCACACGCAGACCGCTGGCGACGAGATCGGTTTTGGCTTTTGCGGGCCGTCGAGTACACCCGGTGGGCTCACCATCCCGTGCCAAGTGTTTGACGGTAGCGGGCCGCCGCAAGGGTGGTGCCTCCCGACGCCGTCGGCTAGGATGACGCAGTCGCTTGCCCGGATTGCCCTTGCCAAGCCGTCGACGTCCATGCCAGCACCCACGCTAGCACCCACCGACGGCAGTAGCAACCATACCGTGCTCATTGTCTGTCTTGTCGCTGGCGCCATACTCGTGGCTCTCGGTGCCTGGTGCTGCATCCGGCGGCGGCGCAAGCCAACCACTACCCACGGCGACTTTACTGCCTACCGGTCCAACCCGCCGCGCGGTGCGACAAGCTCGCCGCCGACGTCGTACCAGCCGATCACGACGGCGTCGCACACGCTCAACGAGTTTCAGCGCGACCCGTCGCTGAGTCAGAAGCGGCTGCCGTACTCGTCCGTCGTCTGCTCCCGGCTTCTCTCGAAAGGCGCGTTCGGCGAGGTCTGGCTCGGCTCGTTCAACGGCCAAGTCGTCGCCGTGAAGCGCCTTCTCGACTCGAAGCGCACGTCCGAGGCCGAGATTGAGGCGTTCGCCGACGAGATTCGGCTCATGGCGTCCTTTACCCACCCCAACATTGTGCGCTTTGTTGGCTTTGCGTGGGACTCGCTCCAGAACCTCTGCGCAGTCACCGAGTACATGCCCCAGGGCGACCTCCACACGTATCTGCAGTCGCACTTGCAGCTCCAGTGGCGGCGCCACGAAAAGATCAAGATCGCGCTCGGCATCGCCCACGCCCTTGCCTACCTGCACAGTCTCTCGCCCGCCATCATCCACCGCGACCTCAAGAGCAAGAACGTACTCATGGCCGCGGGCTGCGAGGCCAAATTGAGCGACTTTGGCATCTCGCGCGAACGCACGCTGGACGAGACGATGACGGCGGGCGTCGGCACGATCTTTTGGACGGCGCCCGAGGTGCTCTTGGGCGAGCACTACTCGGAGATGGCCGACATTTACTCGTTTGGCGTCGTGCTCTGCGAGATTGACACACGGGAAGCCCCGTACCCGAATATGAAGGCCGTGCCCCAGGTCACGATGGTGCACCGCATCACGAACGAAGGCCTTCGCCCGGCGTTTTCAGAGGCATGTCCGGCGCAGCTCCAGACCATTGCTAGCCGCTGCCTCGACGCTGACCCGACCATGCGACCGAGCGCGAGAGAGCTCGTTACGATCTTGTCGGAGTGGCGATAGATGGAAAATGAATCGACGTAGTGTTGTCTCTATGACCAACTCTGTGGAGGACAATTGGATGTACCTGCACACATTGCCATCTCTCTGAACTGCGCGCTGTACGTACGTACGAGCCAGGACGTCGGTGAGTGCCTACCTGGTAGACAGCCCAGACAGCACACGAAATGTATCGTTTGTTATCTGGCTCTGGTGAACCCTAACCCCAGTCATCTCAGCCGATGTCCATCGAAGGACGGTTCTTGTCCTTAAATCCTCCAACGCAACAGACAAGACAGACTGCGGCTCGACCCTGTCCGTCAAACGAGGCGCGCCATTGATGACACCACGTGTACAATGAGACGTTATGGCTGCATCAACACCCTGCCCGAGCCGCGGTGGTAGAGCAGGATCTTGGTGAGCTCGGCGGCAACCTCGGACGCGGTGGGACGCTCGTCCGGGTCGGACAGAAGGCACTCGTCTGCGAGCTTGCGGATGTCAATGGGGCAGTGCCCCGTGAAGGACGGTCGCAGGCCTTTGGTGACGACGCGAGAAGCAATGGTTGCGGCTGGCAGCGGCACGTCGGCGTACGGTCGCTTATGCGTATCTACACGATAGAGGATGAGGCAAGGATTAAGATCGCATGCAAGCGCGCGCGTACCGAGTTCGGCGAAGACGCACCCCAGCGCGTACATATCGGCCGCCGACGAATAGGCCTCGCCGCGGACGACCTCTGGCGCGGTCCAATACGTCACGTCGGGCGTGGCGACGTGGTTCGTGAGGCTGAAATTCGCGAGCTTGGCGTGTTCGTGCGACACGAGCAGGACATGGCGGCTCCGGAGGCGCGGTGCCAGCACGCTGCGCTCGTGGAGGTAGTGCAACCCCTGAGCGACGTCCAAGGCGACGCTCATCTTGGCCTCCCAGAACCAGTCCATTTGGTCGCGCAAGAAGGCTTCGAGGGTCCCGAACGGAAGGCGCTCGGCGACGACACAGAGACTAGCCTTGTCGTTCGGGTCGTAGCCAAAACCGAGAAACGATGCAATGTGGCGGTGCTTCAACGTGCTCTGCAGCGAGACGGTTTGAACAAAGACATCCAAATTGACGTCGTTCTCGGCGTACTTGACGACCACCGATTGGTGGTGCAGGGTGCCGGCCACCACGGACATCGAGAGCTGCGTCGTTGCGACGAAGTCCGTCATGTCGACGCGCAGCGCTGACGCGTCGTCGAGCACCGTGTGCGTACTCCAGGCGACACAGAGGGTGTGCGACGGACTCCGAGGCGTCGCCAGCGCGCGGTAGTTGTGCGGCATCAACTCGATCGCGTCACCGCGGGTCGTCGCGTACGAGATCGGCGGCGGCTCGAACGGCTCGAACTGAATCTCGCTGCGGCGTTGCTGGCGCGTGCGACGGCGGTAGACCAGGATCAGCAGGATGGCGAGGATGAGACCACCGCCGACGCCGACAATCGCGCCAATGAGCACGGCCGACGACCTGTCCTCGGTCGTCGCCGCGGACGCCGGGCGTGCGGGCGACGGGCCGAGAATGATATGCGCGGTCGTCGACGGCGGCGCCGAGGTCGGGTTGGCAAACGCTTGAAG